TGTTAGCAAAATAGATGTCTTGTGTTAATTCCTGTGTTTTTCAGAAGGCCCAGATAAAATACAGGAACAACCAAGAAAGGCATCAAAGAAGACAAGTAAGAATTTTTTTTAATATTACTTCTCAATAATCATCAAAGAAGCACACAAATTAATATACACACAAACTGATATGCATTCTATAAGCAAAAGGTGCCACAGCTGATATTTTTCTATTTTATGATGTATATCATATTTTTCAGAGGACTCCAGAATGGACATGGTGATAGATGTGGAGAATGAGAAACTTTCATGTTTGAAGAGACTGGTGGAGATTGAAGAAGAAAAATTGATATTGAAGAAATAATTTTTTAATTCAGACACAGAAAATGTGAGGCAAAAGTTGCCCAAATCAATTTGCAGTCAATTTTAAATTAAATGTTAAAGATGATAACCTCTCGTGGAGTGAAGGTATCAGGAACTATCTGGACACTGTTCACAATGATGAAAAAAGAAAAAGCCTAAGTCGTTTTGGCACCAGTGGGGAATAAACTCCACACTGAAACAGGCAGATACACTAAGACTCCATTCACATAGAAAGTCTATTTTCTAAAAATCTATTTTCTATTCGCGGTATCTTATGATCACTCCGAGCGCAGCCGCGAATTAATTACAGCTTTGGAAGTAACTGGCTCGCGCTGCCAGTAATTACGCCGCGGGATATTCAGGGCACAGGCCGTGATCACAAGATACCGCAAATAGAAAATAGATTTTTAGAAAATAGACTTTCCGTGTGAACGAAGCCTAACACTCCTCAGCCCTATGGAATATGCCCTAAAGACAAAATTAAACATGAAAAACTTTCTCCCAACATGCCCCCTATACAACAAACCTGTAACCATATTGTACCAGGTATTTACGGAACACTGTATACACTTTGGCCTCAGAACAATTGATGAAAAATTTATTATCATTATTGTAACATGTATATATATGAGGTTGCGTATGTAGGATTGTGGTTGTGTTAGTGTAGAGTAGTGTGTTTGTGCCTTTTTGTTTGTGTTCATGCATCTCTGTTTCTTTATATAACATGCCCCTCTTTCATGCCCCTCTGGCACATTCGTTTCTGGTTTCTGCCACGTCAACTTACAGGTGAGATAGACTTGATTGGTTTGCTTTTCATTTTCTTTGTGTTAAGATTTTGTAATTCTTTAAATTATTTTGTTTGATATTTTCAGTGCTTGTAATTTCTTTTCATCCTTATTTTGTTTAGAAGTTTAGTTTAATCAACCTTCTGACTAGCAAACCTTTGGAACAGCTGGGACATCATCAAACTATCAGACCAATGAACTTTCTGACTATTGAACCTTTTAAACCATTGGATCTTGACATCATCAAACTATCAGACCAATGAACTTTCTGACTATTGAACCTTTTAAACCATTGGATCTTGGCATCATCAAACTATCAGACCAATGAACCTTCAGACTATTATAAAACCTTTTGAACCATTGGATCTTGGCATCATCAAACTATCAGACCAATGAACCTTC